GTTAAAAACTAGATAATGTAAAGGCAATTTGCTAAAAATTTCATTCAAACTGATCAACTATGAACCAAGAACTAAGTGATTGAAATTTCCGCCTAGCCTCGATCATCATTACTAAAGTCAGTATGATAAACAGCATAGTCTTAATTATCCATTTAATCGTTAAATTGTGAAGGAAAGTTATGCAGTAAATCGGCTCATAATCCATGAAAGATCACAGGCTAGCGATGCCATCTAGAGTTGATTATGGTCTGAATAGGTTAAACATACATTATGCAAGAGCTAAATCTGCCTATTTCAGGTCTTTCTTTAGGCCTGAAATGTTATCTGAATTATTAATTAGACATTAATTAACCTATCCAGGCCATAATCAACTCTAGATGGCATCGCTAGCCTGCGATCTTTAGTGGATTGTAAGCCGATTTACTGCATAACTTTCCTTCTCGATTAAACAATTAAATGGATAATTGAAACTATGCTGTTTATCGTAATGATGACCGAGGCTTATGGGAATTTCAGTCGCTTAGTTTTCGGTTCATAGTGGATCAATTTGAATAAAATTTTCACCAAATTGCTTTTACATTATCTAGTTTTTAACTATTATAGTGAGAACTGCCAACTCGTTACCGAATCTCCCATAATGTATCTTTAATTAATGTCTAATTAATAATTTAGATAACATTTCAGGCCTAAAGAAAGACCTGCAATAGACAGATTTAGCTCTTGCATAATGTATGTTTAAATTAATCCATTCTTTATTACTTTGGTATAAAAACCAACATAATACACAGTGATTTTATAAACAACACTGATCAAACTTGTCTTTCTCTGAGAACAGTTGGCTTTGTTTGTAAGATTTTCAATTTTTGAAAAAATTAACAAACTAGATTAAAATTCATGAGTTTTTTCTCTTGAAATATGGCATTGAAGTAAATATTACACAGTGTTATAGAATTAATGATATGAAAGTAATGAAGTAGACATATATTATGTATAATGCTTTGTTAAGATTAGATCTGTCTGGAATCGTACTACATGTAGCATCTGTATTGTCTACCACTACATGTAAACAACAATATACTAAAACCAAATTACTGTATTCAGTCTAATAAACTCATCTTCAAATTTCCAAACTCGACATCCCTTTATCTGAATTAACAATCCTTTGAACATACCATACCCCTATCCTATCCATACATCCCTTTATCTGAACATCCTATCCCTTTATATTATGAACCCAGGAAATTTATCTGAACCGAAGTATTGAACACTACATTATTTAAACTCATACATGTACATGTATGAATGCTTCATCCCAATCCCTCATCATCCCATTATCTGAACCTACATGTACATGTATCATCTCCTTTATCTGTGGCTATAGTACCTTTTAACTGAACTCATGGTGGGGTGCCTTTACCCCAATCCATCATCCCATTATCTGAACCAAGGATTTATCTGAACCAACCATCCCATTATCTGAACCAGTGATTTATCTGAACCAATCATCCCATTATCTAAACACTTTATCTCAATCCATCACCCTTTTATCTGAACCTTCTAACTCTATCGAAATCTAATAACTCTTTTTCTGAATATACCATGTCTTTTATCTGAACCTATATGTTCATGTATCTGTACCCAGCAATTTTATACCCACACAATTGTCTTGCTTTACAGTATGATAGTATGATGTTATTGGTAAATACGGTATGTAGTCATATTTTCCCTGTTGGCTGTTTTTGCTGATAGAAGGAATAAGCCACAGCTACCTGCTTGTGTTTTTTTTATATGAGTCGATGACTTGTTGTGAAAAACACTGCCACAGGCAACTAATAGTCTTATTTCATGTTGAACACAAACTGACAAGTAGGCTAATACACTGTAATCAGTAACATACTAAATGTAGGCTTGTCATACGAGTCATTCGACATACATGTACCTAAACCTAACTACGACACTGTCATGTCAACTAACCATTGACACTACAAAAACGTACAAGAGGATACAGAACCCCTGAAGTACTGTCTTGAATGTTAAAGGTTATTTGTACTAAAATGCGGATCAATCGATCCACATTTCAGCTAATCCTACCCAAAGAAAAGTTTGCTACATGTAAGTGTCTTTTGAATGTAAGACAAATGCTTAGAGGAGGTAAAGCTCTTTGATATAGGTCAAGATAAAGTATTGAATCAGGTTGATGGAATGTGTCGTACATACATGTATCTCAATTAGTGATTGGACAACCTTTATATATGATTATATTAAGCAAGAGTCGTCTTGTTTGCTAATTTTAGTTTGAATTTTGGCTTATTGTATTGAAAGGAGAACACAAATTAGTTATATCTTAATACTGGCTTTATCTATATTATAGATCTATATTATAGATTCTTTAAGTTCAAAATTTCAACTAAGACAGATTGTCATTCTGCAAAACAAGCCAAATTCAAAGAAATAAATAATTTTATTTTTAATTATTCAGATCAAAGAGTTTGTGTTATTATAAGCAAAAAACCCTAATCTCCACACCATGAAGGACAAGCTATAGATAATCTCCTCCACTAGCCCTATCCCCTTCTGTCAGATGTGTATACATGTACATGTACATGTATGATTATACAACATACATTACAGACCAGGGTCCTTTCCAGCCATCTATAATGATCTATCAAGTGGTACTCAGAAATATTCCATTATAGTTTTAACCAGTTGTCAATTGTATGAATTTTAATGCTTGCTTTACATGTATCTTTGAAACATGATACTTCTAATATTACGCTTTAGTAGGGTTTTATAATATGCTGTTATTGTCAACCTAATGTCTTGCAATTATTAGTCACTTAATAGTAACATACTGAACGCAGTACAAGTGAACGCGTACTATGGCCATTTATAGGTCACAGTAGTTATGTAGTAGTTTCATTTCAGCTACACACTACACATATTATTAAATGCTATTCAGTTTGCGAAATATATTTGCCAATTTTAACTTCTGGTATTCTCAGTAAAAAAATATTGATGTTCGGTACTGCTAGCCTTGAAATAAGGTTCCTGTCACAGACATAACAGAAACAATTAAGGCTTTATCAGACACTCTCTCGGGTTCCTGTTATTGGTTAATATTTTTACATGTACAGCACAAAATTCAAAATGTCCTTTACAACTAATATCATTATTTCCAGACCACATGAACAACTGGGTAGACTGAAATGAATATCATGTAGACATACTAATACCAAGTTCCAGGACAGACAGATGCAAGAACCAATGGCTTGTTCTTAAAGACAATGGGCAAATTTCAGATACTTGGGCTAATTAATTACAAAAATGAACTGATCAAAAATGGCTGATCAATTGTGTTAAATTTGTTTGGATATATCATAATATTTTGATTAACTGCATTTCTGGTTTCCAACTTCTTGTCTTGTCACTTTCATTGTCGTTATTGGGTATGTCAGTATTGACTGCCGTTATTTCTTGATGGAATGTTTTCAATGGCCTCTGATAGAGAGATGGTTTTTATCCTAGATTTGCTTTTGAAGAAGAACTGAATTCTTTTCTGTCTGTTACTGAGTTTGTAAATGTTTATATGGCAGAACAACTTTAACAAATGAAAAGCCATTCATTGTAATGTGGGCGACAAATATATTTAAATCATGTACAACGTAACATTGCCGGCATTTAATGATCTGCCATTGGGTGCTGGGAATACATGGAGTGATTGAAAAATACCAAAACAAAAATATGCGATTTGCACTTACATGTAGTACAGGTGCTTCACAACCACTGCAGTTGCACCGACAATAAGAAGGGAAAAGGGTGTGTCCAACCCAATTTTTTCAATCCAACCTCCAGAAAATTTATGAACAATTTTGTTGGGAATCTATGGTTGCCTTATCACCTTGTTTGTTTATCTTGTCTGTAAAATTTTGTGAAACTTCAATCTGGTGGAAAAAAGTATTACATGTACAATACCCTGAGCTATTCAGGAGAGATTTTCATAACATATTTTGTGGAAGACAAGAGTGTATACATTGTGAATTGTTTGAATGTCTTAAAGGGTGCATGCGTATTAACAGTTTAACTAGATTGAGTCATGGATGTTATTAACCTGATTCTGATATAAAGTCTATCACTGTTACATAATATATCCTTAATTATAAACACATGTTTCTTATAATATTATCTACATGTATAATAAAACACACACTGAAAATATACATGTAGTTTAAACAATAATCATTTTTCTGTTAGTATCCTTGTATAATAAACATTGCTACATGTAATATATTTATATATTTTATATGTTTTAAAAGTGTGATAAGCAGATCTTTGACTCCCACCTTGTCAACCACAAATTCAGACTTAATCAAGCACAATCTTTCTGGGACCTGTCATTTTGTCTGACACATATGTGTTTTCTATATTTTTATTGATATTATTAATAGATGTCCAGCAACTGGTTCAAAATTAAGGTTCTTACACAAAGTTCATTAGTACCTATAGGTACATGTAACAGTTTTTCAGATACAATTAATACAGTTATTTCCTGGCCTGCATTGATATATAAAAAAATATGTAACCATAATGAACCGTCTACGCTACATGTATATCTTATCAAACCTTCAAACATACATAACCCTGCTAAGAATAAAGTAATTTGAATGAACAGACAGCTCTTTATCTAAATCTTACCTAATGCAACTTTAAAGCCTGTTTTTGTTCAACTGTTTGAGTATTATTTCGGCTGTTGTAATGTACCACTGACATAAGTAGTACATGTAAGCCAGCTGAAACGTGAGTTGTATGTTGTCCGATTTTGTGATGTGGAAAGACAAAAGACTTTTTATTAGAAATTGGTACTTTTGTTGTTTTTATCTGTGTAAATTTGGAACCAGTTTAACTCCTCTTCTTCTTCCCCTTAACCAAAGACTCTCCATACACCCATTGTAAGATTGTAGACCATACCAGTATATATATTATCTATTTTTGTGTATTTTCAGGTAGCGATAAAGATTATAGATAAATCACAATTAGACGAAGATAATTTAAAGAAAATTTATCGTGAAATACAAATAATGAAATTATTAAAACATCCACACATTATTCGTCTATACCAGGTAAGACTTATTTATATTGTTTATCAATTCTGTCAAACCCCTGATGTACACCATCTTATCTACATTATATACATATTTCCTTACTGATGACGTAACAACAAAGTCAAAATGTTGAATGGAAATAAATTCAAGAAGTTAGAAAATTTATTCAAAGAAATCTTTCATTATTCATTTCAATATACCGGTATTCTGAATACAGTATATGTGTCACAGTTTCTGGTATTGACAATCTTAAAATAGGAGCCGTGGTGCTGGCTGTGAGGACTCAGTTTCAATCCCCAAGTGGAACTTGAAAGTGCCTTGGGATTTTCAAGTCCAGTTTTGCCATGTCAGTGGTGTAGGATGGAGAGGAGCTCACAAAGTGAGATCTTGTCATTTGGATAGGAAGAGGAAATCAAGGTCATGTGTACACTTTGATGTGCATGTAAAAGAGAGAGAGAGAGAGAGAGAAATGGGGTTTAACGTCCACTCGACACAAACTAGGTCATTTCAGGACTAACACATAGTTCAATTTTATTTCAATCATTCGCTTGCGTGTAGGGGTCTTTAGCAGTGGGAGGAAACCGGAGGACACGGAGAAAACCCACGAGGTTGGACAGGCGACCCTTCTCCTTGTCACGTACAACCGGGGAATCGAAACCCCGCCAGTTGACTCAATGACAGACTGTATGATACAGCGCGCGCGTGCTAACCATTCGTCCATCCAACCCCCCGCATGTAAAAGAACCTTGACAGTTGGAATTTGAAATAAGATTAGGTAGCAGTGCCACTGTCCAGGCAAAATTTCCCTCGTAAAATTAAACCATGTTTTATTTCATTGCCCAACATCTGTTTTGCTAGTCTGCCCTTGATTGTAGTCTCACATTAATTAAAAAAAAGTTAACATGCATAAGCTTTTAGCAAAAATTAACATCGTTTGCTTATTTTGCTGTATTCATAAAATAACATAACCCACTCATGGTAACTTTCTATAAAAATCATTATATTGATGATATTGTTTTTGTTCATGTGACAATAGAAAACAAAAGGAGATATGCTGAGAAAGATAGGCACGAGATAATTTGTATAAAGTTGTGAATAATTTATATTTTTAACAACTAAAAGTATGGTACATTGTACATGTAGATAACAATTCATGCAGTGAAATCTCTACAAAACATGGTAAATGAAGCATGACCTTGGTTATAACAGAATAATCAAGGGCATTGGGCATATGACTATAAGAGCATTTTTCACCAAAAGACTTCCATATTAACACTTTGATCAGAGATGCATTATGTACATGTAAGAGCTCAATGGACTTATTACAGGTCTTTTTTCTGGCGTCACATCACTCACATGACATGCCCATAATTGACCACCACAATTCTTTATATTGAGTAGATTAGACAATGTCTGCTATATTTTTGTTAAGTGTTGATACATGTATGTCTGCCACCATACATGTGGAGGAGACTGCCAATTGATTTTAAGGACTAAGAAATTGAGACTTTGTTTATTACCATGCAATGTACATGTATTTAGACTTGTACATTGGCACGATAATAAAGAAAGTCTCAATTTCATAGTCAATTGGCAGTCTCCTAGACTATTTAGGCTTGTAGATTGGCACGATGATAAAGACAGTCTCAATTTCTTAGTTGTTTGGCAGTCTCCTAGGGTGGCATTCATATCTACATTTAACAAAATAGCAGATGTTTCATGTGGACATATAAAAATGAATATTTTGAAAATTTCAGTCATATTACTTTATTCTGAGCAAAGTTAATAATGTAATGTGACTGAAATTTTCAATATATACTATTCAAAAAAAGTAGGGGATATTTGATTTTTAAGTGTTATTAAAGTCACCTAATGAAACTGACGAAGAAACAAATGACAAAATGAAATGAAGTTCACATTCATCGATTTATTCCAAATGATCGTTAGACTAAGTAAGGCACAGACTGACCATTATAAGGGTAAAATGATACCCGGGGTCAAACAGCAAAGTTACCACAGCATCACAACCAAGTCAGTAACGGGTAAATCCTCCTCTGTTTGCCAAACAAGCATTGATCCGACGTGGCATACTCCTAATGAGACGTCTAAGGTCATTTTGGTCCAGATTGTCCCATTCCTGTTGCAACGCAGCAGCAAGTTCTTGGACATTGGCAGGACGTTGTTGACGTTGACGTAACCTCTGTCCAAGCATGTCCCAGACATGCTCGATGGGGGAGAGGTCGGGACTCAGTGCTGGCCAAGGTAATGTGGTGATGTTCTGTTGTTGGAGGTAACCTGTAACGATCCTGGCCCTGTGACATCTTGCGTTGTCATCCTGGAAGATGAAACGGCGGCCATGACGTCGTGCGAACGGCACAACATGGACTGCCAAGATGTTGTCCCGGTAGTACTGGCCTGTAACACGCCATGCAACAACATGTAAAGCCGTTCTTCCAGCAACAGTGATGCCTCCCCACACCATAACAGAACCACCCCCAAATCGATCATGTCTGATGACGTTAACGTCTTGGAAGCGCTCGTTTCGACGACGCCACACCCTCCTACGTCTGTCAAAAAAAATCAACAGTGAACCTTGACTCATCTGAAAACATCACATTGCTCCAGCGTCGATTATCCCAGTGTTGACGATCCCTACACCAACGACGTCTTGCCTGAATGTGATGATCTCTCAAACAAGGGATCACGCGAGGACGTCGGGCGCGAAGGTGACCCCTATGCAGTCGATTCCGAATCGTCTGGCCACTCACTCTCACACCAGTGTCTGTTTGAAGACGAGCGCTGATCTGATTTGCTGTGATGACACGATTTCTCAAGGCCAAGGTACGGATAAATCGATCCTGGGCTTGAGTTGTTGCCCTTGGTCGACCTGAGCGTGGTCTGTCCTGTACAGATTGTGTATCACGGTATCTGGACCATAGCCTGCTTATGACAGACTGAGAAACATTCATCGTCCGCGCCACAACCGCCTGTGTTGTGCCGATCTGTAGCATGCCAAGGGCACGTAACCTTTCATTTTGGGTAAGCCGACGCATATCAAAATTTGTTTTCTGGTCACTAAAACAATTAAACTGATGTTTCCACCCTGGAATTCAATGCCACAATGACTGTAACATTCAAAGTCAGAGTCGTGCAAATCTTGGGTTGGACCCCCATGATGATCCCAAGCATCACCTGCATTCCATGCGGTAGCTATTGGTGCGTTTGGGCGTCACATGTAACTGGAAATGTTTCTTCTGTTAGGTTCTATAGTGACTTTTTTCGTAGTCATTTGCATATTTTAGTATTATGCCCCCAAAATCAAATATCCCCTACTTTTTTTGAACAGTACATGTATATTCATTTTTATACGCCCACATGTAAATGTGATCATACATGTATGTTTACGCGCCCCCCCCCCTCCCATCCGTTCACACTACAATGATTATCTGATCTTTTGATATTTGTTTACATTAGTGAGACAAACAGTCTTATTTTATTTCAACAATAACCATTATGGCCCTTGTTTCAATCTGTATGAAATTGATGTGCATCATTTAAATTAGTGAAACAAGGAAGTCTATTGAAATTCAACAATTTCCGTTAATACTTCTAGTTCATTATCTACATGTATTCTTGAACCATTTGAATCAGGGTGGATGGGTGACCGATTGGTTAACACATGCGCATGTGATCATAAGGTCTGTCACTGAGTCAAGTGGCGTGGTTTCGATTCCCTGCTTCTGTGTGACAAGGAGTAGGGTCGTGGGTTTTCTCTGGGCCCTCCGGTTTCCTCCCACTGTGCTAAAAGACCCCTACGCAGAAGCGAATTATTGAAATAAAATTAAACCATATTTTAATCCCAAAATGACCTAGTTTGTCTGGAGTGGACCTTAAACTCTCTCTCTCTCTTTCTCTCTCTCTCTCTCTCCATTATAAATCTTATATAAGCTTACATAAAGCTTGTTGAACATTATAAACTATTTTATATAATCATCTGTTTTGATAGTGGTGTAATATATTATGTTTCTAGAACATATAAATAAAATGTGGTGTATACATGTAATCAACTTTATCATTTTATGAACAAAAACATAAAAACAACATTTTTCACAAAAACTATTTCATTTAATTTAGTGAATTTCCTCCTTGACATAAAGATTGACTTAAATCTGCATATCACGATGAAGTCATGTGATCATAGACAATTAAATTCTTCAGCTAAGTAGTGATGAATTCTAAAAAAAATAGAGCAAAAACCCAAGGATAATATTTCAATACTGTTGTTTACATACCAGGTAATATAGGCCAGCCATTTATCTCACCAGACTTATTAGATAGTGAATAATAAATCTTGTCATTACAAAACTCAGTCAACATAAATATATGGTTTTAACACATATCTGATGAAAGGTATGAGGTGGTCTGGCAGTGTGTAACATCAATTACTCCATGTGAATACCAAATTTTAGGCTAGATAGTTAAATACATTTACATGTATGTGCACTCATATATACATGTACATAGAGAGAAAGAGAGAGAGGGGTTTAAAATCAACCCAAACTACAGTAGAACTTGCTCGGGCGTGCACTCCTAATCAGCGAACACTTGCTTCAACGAGCACCAAAAATTCCCCCCGAGCGATTTTTAAGTAATTTAACCTCTACTAAGCACGCGCCTGTTCAACGCGTGCAACGGGCATCACGATTAATTCCCCCCGTAACAAATCTACTGTTTCAATGGTCACTCCTCTAACGCGGCCAGCGGTCACTATTTTACTAATAAATTCAAAAAACATCGCCCATTCAACGGCCATTGTTGAATGATACCATCTTGTCGTTCTTTCTTTGTAACACTCCCGCTAATCCCGTGAGTAGTAGTTAATTAACTGGACCCCCACTGATCAGGTAAAAAGAAATGTAAAAATAACAATCAACCCGGGATTATCTGTTTTTTAATCTTTTGTTTTATTAAACGACTAACCTGATCACTGTTTTCACGCGTAACGACACATTATTTGA